TCTTCACTAACGTCCCATTTGTCGTCATTACTTATGGACTTACAGTTGCTTTAAAGTTTTTCTTGACTGTACTTCTGTGACTCAACTGGCGTGAACACACTTTTGCTGACAGTTTTTCTATATTTTGTGTTTTTACCATGATCTTCCCTCGGAACCTGTTAAGCATTAGCTTGTTTACCCGTGTAAAATCATTGTTCCATTGCCCCAAGGGTTTTAAGCTATTGCACCCCCCACCAACCATGCATTTCTCTTCATTCTTAATTGGCGATAGTAGTATCTGTCTCCCTGTCCTTTATGTTCGTTATGTGCGTGTCAGGCCCCATCTTCGGGTCACATTAGGCGAGGTGCCCGGTTGAAAATGAGCATTCTGTTAGCAGATTCGATTATAAACACAGTTCACGGAGTCTGGGAATTGTTAGAAGCCATGTTGTCACTACCACCCCACACGGTATTCCAAAAGACGGTACTAGATCTGTGCATCATTCCACCGTAGCCTTATTTGAGCGTTATGCTTGTTGATCCAGATATCCAGAGTTTGGCGCATATTCTTGCTCAGAATCAGTTCAGGTCCTCTAAATGCAGTATTAGTACGCCGGTACGTCCTACCGACTCTTCACTGCCACGCATCCACCAACAGCTGCGTGGGATGGGTGGGCAAGGTGGAACCGGTGACTTGTAGATAGAAGGCCAGATGCTTGAGTCATCGGCCCGGCGTTTTTCTCAGCACTGTGAATAGAAATAGAGTCATCAAAAACCATAGAAATCAAAGAAAGGTACAGTCGTCGTAAAAAGAAAATCGAACACAACACAAAGTAACCTGTGATTTCTTCAGATGGCGCGATACTACGTGGTTGTCTAAGCCGAAATAGGGATATCGCCCTGAGCCTTTGGTTGAATAGCCTTCCTGCAATGCAGCGAGATGAATTCGTAAAACTGCGCCCATTGAAAGCCGGCGATTGGTTACTCAGTTCATACACCTTTCGTTTTGTCGATTGCTCAGTGGGAATGCAGGGCTTCGCCGGAGTGCAACAATTGGCAGTAACTTTATTCATTAAAGAGTCACTCCCATCACATCGCCATATTGCTAAACGGGTATTCGTACTTTTACAGGGAGAACGCATGTCAGTGGAAAACTCACCACGTCGTGGAACAATTCCGCCGAGCCATTTGCTGGAACGAACTACCCAGCTGGCACCACATGGATGTGTTTCCCCGAGCTGTTACTGATGCAGTCACCTTACACCCTGTTCGATCAAGTTGTCTTGCGTCCCTTGGCTTATGGGCATCAGGAGTTCTAAAATTTCATCTGTGAACCAGGCTGACATTATCCCTAGGAAGCTGCAACAATTATTCATTCGGCTCCTTCTTTTGACATTTAAGTTCGTACCGAGCACCACATACACCATCATATCCCGTCGTTCTCGGCACATGACACATTAAATGAGCCGCTTGTTGACTTATGAATGTGCGACATTTTCGTCCCCGCATTTGTAACTCCCGTGAGACAGCACACACTACATTTCCAACAAATATTGGGTAAAGTAGGCTTGTCATCACACAATTTGTCTATCACAGTGCGGACACAGGGTTCGAGCTTTTGTGGGATATCCTACCTTTGGCTTAGATTCCAATCGTGAGCCTCTTCCGCATGCGCACGAGTGTTATCTGTCTTCCAATCGTGTGGTCTGCTACTTTGATAGGATTATTCTACGTACTGATCTGTTCCGGTTAATTTCACCGATTCACTTGCATTCATATTTATTTTAACGCTTACTACATCACCGGTCGATAGAGGAACGGTACTGTTCGCCTCCACTACAGCAACTATCTCCACTTGTGTCTGACTGGACCCCTTACCCCATTCCTGGAGTGCCCCGAACTTCGCGCGCTTTTTCTCTCAGCATTTTTCATAAACTTTCTTTAGTATGCTGTGCATTAACCACGTCATGTCCTCTATTTTCCCCTGAAGGTGATGTTCGTCGTGACCTGGCTGCTGCTCCCCATGTGTACGCCAATGTAGCCTGGCCTACCAGTGGTTTGTATTGCCCTCACAAGCTGGCCATTGATTTGGCCGTATGCCTTACGACTGGGTCCACAGGACGCGTAAGTTACGGTGGTGTGGATGAATCTACCGACGATACACAGTTGGCTGCATTTCACAAAGCATATGACGGCTTTGGCATGTTCGGCCTAAGTGTCTTTGGTTATTCGGCCAAAGCGGTTGAGGACCGGCTGATCCGCGCCATCCACGCCTTGCGAAAGGCCAAGATTACTCTCGATGAGTTAAGGATCGCGAAGTGAGTCCTCATCTTTAACTCGTGTCTGTGTTGCTCAAGCATCTTTGTTCCCGCAATGCAGGTACTCCGAGTCTGGTTATATGTTTGTCGCACACTGTTACTCTGACATATAACAACAGCAGGAACTCTGACAGTAGGACAACGGGCATCGGGTAACTCGTGTAGTCCTCCAAGAGTCAAAACAAACTCTGGGCAACGATCAGATATGTTATTTCTGAAGCAAGTCATGGTTTATACTGTGCATAACTAGCGGGTGCTATTTGGTCGCGACGTCTCACAATAGCTACTTTCCGTTTTGTGTCTTCCGCGGTCTGTTTGTTTCCATTAGTCCCTCTTCCGCCCCATTTGTTCTGTCCGGCTCGAGTTATGCTCGAACGCAACAGCCCTCTGGTTAGCGTACACGCTTCATCCGCTCGCGGCTGTTCCAACCAATCCGCTTCATCGTTGTCCGTGACACAGCTGTACTCTGTTCTTTCTAGCTTGAGCCGATTCTGATTCCTCTCTCCGTCTCGTCCACTCATGGTCGATCTGCATGAATAGCAGCTGATTAACCTTTAGCTTGCCTATCACCCACTGGTTGGCTTTGCTCAAACAATCAACTACCACCACATGGTATTCCGAAGTTATTGCGGTTACTATCATTAACCGTGGACGTCTCTCTTCCCCTTGTCGCTGCGTCGTTTATCCCACCGATTAATCGCATTTTAATGCGCTATCTCTGTAGTGCAGATGCACTTAAAGTGCACATCTCTGATTTTGCCATGCTTTATTGTGAATCATTTGCTAATAGGCTCCTGTCAATCCCAACGTCTGCTAGTCCCGATCCGCGATCCACTATGGCATACTAAGGGACCACGGTCCACAAGTCTCACGAAAACCATTCCGTTTCGTCAAGTAGAGCGCATTTGACAGCGGTCCAGTTAGCCTTTTGCTTCCGAATCGCTTTGTGTTCACTTAGCACGTTTTGAACCTTGATCATTTCAGTTAGGACTTCATGCTATTTTGAGTTTTGTAATGCCGTCAACCGTTCCTGTGCTGCTAGTTAGGACTATTTCGTGTTGTCTCTGGCTAGAGACGGTGGTGATCTGCCCTGCAAAACATCAACTCACGTGTTCACACAAATACGGAGAGACCATCACAGCCAACTGGTGTCAATCCATTCCGGTGATAGTAGTCTAGAGGGGCAGTCGCATCGTTTGTGCTAGTCACAGGAGCATTCGCCTGACAGTGGTAATAACAACGGTGCTGGCTTCAATTCTCACTCCTCGCCTTACTGCAGAACCGGGATCTGAGGTGAGAGAAAAACTAACAGCTTTCAGTCCGGGACAGGGTTCATAGATCCTATCTGCATCCTGCGTCATATGTACCGCTGACCGACTCTATCCATGTTCATTGACTTAAAGTATGCGTTCGGCTTAGCTGATTGCTTCATCTTGTTCCTGTAAAAAATATGCAAACCTCGCACGCGTCTTGTCGTTCACCTTTTCGACAACAGGTGGTCTAACTGGCAAATCACAGTCTGTGTTGGATTCCACCGAAGCACATGCCCCAACTCCCTACCTGTTCCCTTGTTTCACACTGTGACTGACTCTTATCAGCTGACATTTACGCTTAACTGCTTTCAATCGCAGCTGTCTGAATGCTTGGTCAGTCGCGTAACTGTTTGGGCTGCAGTTAATTGTTGCCGGCATTTGGTCTTGTTTGGACGTCCGGTTTTAATTTGAGAACAGAACTATTGTACATTTTGTGGTGGACACTGTCAAGCACCGTAGCGGATTTCCGGCTTTGACTTTTGAATTGATCCTGGAGTCTCATGTCTGCTTGAATCCACCGCCGATTTGACGGTAACAGGTGCCATCCGCTAGGGTTGTCCCATCTCCTCAATTATTTGCTTCTGTCGCGGACACCACCGCTGTGTAATATTAATTTGTGGATCCTCACCCTGGTTATTCTAAATGGCGCAGACAACATCGTCTTACTCTTTGACAGTCGTTAATCTACGCAGTACCACTGCGATGATCTTCCATCCTTGGGGATGCGGTTTGCATTTTCCATACGCGTATTATTGCATCACCATCAGCCTTGTTATTCGCAGTGATGAGGAACTGCTACGAATCGCTCATCTCAGCACCCATAACAGCTGCATTTTGATAGCACCTGGTATAGTTGGCTTATTTACTGGAAACACCAAATCTGCTTTCATGAACCTGCGACTCGTTTGTCACCCGAATGGTCTTTCGTTTGATCTTCAGGGTTGTATACACATTACCGGAATATGGGCTTTACTACGCCCTGACATTAAAACTTTGATCTAAACTTATCAAGAGCCTTCAAGTTTCTGGGCATCATTGCTCCCCTATTGTTACTGGTGTTGTATGGCACCTAGTTGACCGCAAAACTGAAGTACGCAAATTGGCACTAGGCAGAGGATGATCAGGTGAGTTGGCGCAATCAACAAATGAGACAAGATTATGTTGGCTTGGACACATGCTACAAGTGCCTGCCCATCGCTTACCGAGAAGGAGGAGGAATCTGCGGTTTTCTTTTTCTGAACGGACGAGATGGTTGACTTGACCGGAGTCACTGACCAACCGCTTCTCGGTCAGTTTCGTTTCCTAAACCGTAATGTGCGCGGCCTACCCTCTGATCGATTCGAGGCCTTGCAAACGCTGGTGATTTAATCGATGTCATCTCCTATATGAACTGATTTCCCTTAGTGTATTCTCTGATGCAGTGTGCCTAAGCATGAAACGGGATATTGATGGCTGTGAATAAGCAGTCTCACTGACTCAACCTCGTCTCCGAACTACAGCCAGTTGGGTTGTGACAGTGATTTGTTTCCACGCGTGTTGACCTTGATTCTGAATACCCAATCTCCTCATTTATTGTTCAACTTGATCGTGGACTCTATCATGTAGTGCTCCGTTGCGGAATCTCGCACTTCGTTTTTTTTGAATACCAGTTGATCTGGATTATCTCGACGATATTGTCCCGTTGCTTGGTAATCACAAGGCAGGCCGCACGGTCACTACTAGATAAACTCTCTGGACTGTTTTTTATTTTGTATGCGCTTTGCACCAAAGTTCAGGGTGATATTGCAGGACAACTAGCCGCTTTACCTTTGCTACTGAGGAACTGGAGACGGTTGACAAATTTACATATCGTGTTAGCTATGTAAGCAGTAGTGGGAATGAGACTGCTGCAGTTCACACACTGCGAAGGTTAGAACCGCCTTCTTGAAACTGCAACAGCTGTGGTCTGATACACCGCGTGTACAAGGCGATCGTGAAGGTTGTCCTAGTGCCTGGCACTGAGACTTGGCTCGGTCTGTAGATCTGATGCACCTTTAACCCTTTGCTCATCACTGTCTGCGAAACATTGCTGGTGTCGGATGGCACCAGCGTGTCCGCAACGATAATATGTGTAGGAGAGTACAAGGTCAAATAATCAGGCAAATTCTTTGATACAACCGGTAGCATTGCATAAGTTGCGTTTGCTCAGGTATGTGCCACGCAAGTCTGGTCGACCGGTACCTGAAAGAGGTACGCGCTTGTCTTGCAGTCCGAAAGTCACCGGTTGAAATCCGCGTAGGTGCGGGTGTCCTCGCGGCATATGCAACCCATGATGGCCACGTGTTAGCGAAGCGTGTGTCGACGTCTTGCTTTTTCATTTTTTATTTTGCTGATGCTTCGTCACTGCTTGCCAAGGCGAGCCTTGTTTTGCGCAACGCTATCCCTCGTTCCCATCGGCTACATATTGTTCGATCTAGTCTGGATGAATTCATCCAGTGAATTTTCAGTTACCACTATAGTCGTTATCGAGTTCTTAAGGCGGAAATGTTCTTAACACACGCGTTTGCATCGGACCTGCTTGTGGTTGATGGACTATCCCACGGGATAGGGTATCTGGCGAGGAAGAGGCTAGAGCACATCGTTGTTCTGGTCTTTTATACAGCCAGTTTTCCTCTCATGTTGCTAAGCATCTTGGAATTTCAATATAGCTGTATCGCAGAAGGGGAGCTAACTGACTGCACCGGACTCTTAGGGGCACTCTGGCTGCGCGTATACTGCACACTGTTCCTCAAAGATCAGACTGTTCGTCTGCGGGCCGCCTTGAACTGACACTGTTGGGTTAAGGCTTAGCCCAGTGATGTACACTTGTTTCTTCTTGAACAAGTCCACACTTTACCTCTTCATTGATGCATTTAGGAGGGTTTTTCAATGCCTGCATTGGCACTGTACTTCTAATCCACAAGCCAACATTTTAGGATATACCTCCCCAATAATTCATCTGGCATTTACCTTGTTTATATGGGGAAGACGCGACAGCACTTTGGTCCTTTCCTCTTGCATATTAGTGGACGTCAAAGCATATTAACCAATGCGTTTCCAAACAATCTGCTACTCCGCTATTGATCTCCTGTCTGTAAGTTACAGTTTGACTACCCGAGATCATGTTAATAACGCTACTACTCATGAGTAAAATCACGATGTACCTGTCGCTTGTTCTTCCACCCACCGCTTGGCATGAAGGTATTTCCGTCTAACATATTTGCATGAATTGTCCACCGTTACAGTCTCCATACTGACGGGAGCGGCCACTCATTTCCAAACTGCTAGGTTTGCGCACTTTCCGGTGGCAAGCTCTCCGCATAAGCGTATAGTCAACTCAAAGCATTCGAGTCGAACTTGGAAGGTGCTAATTATGTTTGTGCCTGTTTTCGTGCTCCGGTTCATTGTTAGTGCTTGCGATCCGAACGGGTCATCTTGAAACAGTGTAAGGTGTCCACCTGATATTTATCCGGCTATCGCGTTCGTCAACAAAAGCCACTCCTTTCCTAAGTTCGAATGTGTTTTTTGGCAAAACTTTTATCGTGTTTTCAATGACATACACGTAGCCAGCTCGTCACATTCGATCATCGCTGCCTTCGCAGCTTAGCTCATGTCTGGTGGGAACACCGCGTGAGCAATGAGCGTGTTCGACGTCGCGTATTTGGTGCAGGAAGAGCGAGTGAACCGCTCAGCACCATTATAACACGCACCAGGCTCCGATGGCTGGGCCACGTGTTGCGCATGCCAGCACACCGACTCCCGCGACGTGCATTGTTTGCGCGTTGTGGGTACGGTTGGAAGAGGAGGAGGGGAGGCCAAGTGATGACTTGGTCGAGAGGAATGAAAACCCTCACTTCGAAGTTGGCGTCGGTTGGTGCATCCTGATTGCCTGGCTGGGGTCCTAAGGATGGTGAACACGTATGGTTGGACACACTCGCTGATATGGCTTGGAGCCGGCCCCAATGGCGTTTGTGTTGTGAGTTCCTTTGTCCATCCCCCTCCTGCTTAGCATCCCCCTGCAATCATGATCTGATAGGTATAATATGACTCTTTTACGGCAGCCAGCTGTTAGCTCTCCGGATTGATGTCCATCCGTTACTGGGGACTTAGCGGGCGTGCCACCGTTTGTTTTCCTTTTCTTTTGTATTGCGGCACAATAGCTGAGGTGTTTTCCACTTCCAGCTAACGTGTAATGATGATGATGATGATGTAGCCAGCATCACATATTCGCACACACTTCCCACTTCTTTCACTCTTTGTCTCTACTAGATCCCTGTACAGAGCGGATCTCTCGATGATCATGGAAAGCCCTGCAGCATTGGCTGTCGACCTGGCTGTGCAAGTCTCCCGATCGGGGAAGGTATACCACGCACCTTTGCACCGAGCTGCTGCGATCGATAACATCTCAACGACAGAAGTGAAAGAGGTACGTGTGTGCGCACGTTTCTTCCAGACGCCCACTTGCCCGGTACACTTGATGACATGCTAAAATATTACCGCCGTAGCTTGATCACCTCTCGGCACAACCGCCTACAACTTTTAGCGCCTAGATCACTGAGATTCCAGCCGCCTTATCTCGCATTTCAGCGTCTTGCTTCACTGGTGATACCCAGGTATACACTTCAATTACTTTTGGCTTTTTAAATAGTCTCGTTAGCTAAGCTCAGTTCCGCCACTATCATGAAAATCTCTGGACTGCCGTTTCACGCAACTGGGGCCCGACCATTGGGCGCATTTCTGCACTGCCACCGTGACCGTTAAAATCATTGTCTTTGACTTGTGTCACTTGACAGCGACAACCTACCTGACTAAATCACTAACCGTAACAGTTCATTTTATCCATTTCTGCCATGTGTGTTGCTGCTGCTGTGCACCGGGCGCAGGCTCGGCCCTCGGACACACGTTTTTCTCCAATCCGTCAGTTGTCCTACATTACAGGTTACCACACGCCTACTTACTACTGGTTAAGTAGTATGGTTATTTGACGTTTTCATGTAGTTTCCCTATAGCAGCGGTTCTCAACCTGGGAGTAATCACCCCTTTGGGGGTAAAAAGTAATCTTACAGGGCACAAATATAACTGAGAGGATTGGGCCACCAATCTGTCGCCAAACAAAATTAATACTTAAAACATCTGTGTCAAGACAATTAACTAACTGTCTAATCACTGCTGATTTGAAATCAGTGACTAATAGTGAATCGGACAATTTTTGTGACAAATTTAGTGCCTAAAATACGGATACAGTCCTGCAATGCAGTGCAGCTAGATGACGCCTCTATCATCTCGCTCGTCGCTTGTTGTTCTTTTGAGTCCGGCTTTTGTTCGTCGGGTCGAATTACAGAGTTCTATGAACACTAAGATGGGAGCATAGGTCAGCCGACCAGATAAAAGTGCGACCGAATGTTTACAAGGTAGAAGGCACAAAACGGGCGGTTAGTGTTCAGGACGTATCGATAGTGGGGGTAGTGGTGGTGGGAACCTTTCATCCAGGGCGGAATATGAAGGGATGATTGGAATAAATGAGAATCCACTGACATATATCCATGTTTGATCAGGGATCACGCACCAAGGCAAGAAACTTGGAGCACGACTTACGATGGGCATTAACCGAAACCACACCAAATATACTATAAATTGTTGGAACTAAGCACTATCAACCGTCTCATTGACGTACATCACCTCTTGGTTCAATTAAAAATTGCTCTAAAAATAAGAGTTTTCTTTGTTTGAATGAAAACTTAATTAAAAATTTTATTCATTTTACGTACGCAACGGTAAAAAATTCAATTTTTACTAAAAAAATTAACATTTAAACTAACAATCTTTGAGTAGTCATTGTTTAACCTGATCGAGCTTTGGGGGTAACAACCACAAAAAGGTTGAGAACCACTGCCCTACAGCTACCCAAGCCATACAGCCACAACCATGCGGTAACGATCGTGTAGTACTTTGCCACATGAGTATGGGTGTAGCGAAACTACTTGGTACTCTTGGTATCTTACCCGAATCCTTTGGAGGTGTAGGCACAGGAGCCGATTCCTCCAACCACTGGCGTGAGGCTTTCTTCGCTCTTAAATCAATCTCCACCCAGCTTAAATACTGCTCGGAATTTCTCGTTCGAATAATAACACCGTTTCCTTTCTGTCATTAATCTATGCACATCAAAGTTGGGCACTTGGCAATGCTTGTAACACTGTGCCTGCTTAATCCATTTACTAAGCGCATAAAGCGCAAAGCTCTTTTCCAAATTCGGTGCGGACCGCCCTTTGCGCTGGCCCTTGGTGCTAATCAGCTAAGGGTCGTTCAGACCTTTAACTTCCTAGGCAACTGTACCCGAGTCTGTTACACACGAGTTTGAACAAAAAAGCGGTTTACCGTACTTGGACGTGCTGATTAGGAGGCGGACGGATGGCACATTTCAGCACAGTCTTTCGAAAAACGACCTGGTGTAGACAGTACTTGCATTTCTCTATGTTTGCTCCAGCCAACGGTTCAAACTGCAGAGAAACAGGATGTCTACTTGTTTCTACCGTTTAAAGAAGATCGTTTTGCCAATAACATCAGGCATAAGATCAGGTTTGCGCTCTCGCGTACTTACAGCAAGCAAAGACTGCTTCTCAACAACCATCCAAAAGGCCTGTCAGGCAGTGCGGTTTCACATGTAGTCTACCAGTTCACCTGCAGTTGCGCTGACGTTTATATAGGCATGACTGACCGTAGACTGGCCCTGTGGATGGCGGAACACCTAACTTGACTAAGGCAAGCGTTGGCGCAACAAAACTGGTGCGATCAACTGGAATCGCACCGTTGCCTCGTCCACTGCGAGGCATCTCGTATTGACTCATCAAGGGGTGGATCAATCGACCGGGTTCAAAGTACTTCTGCGCGAGCAAAACCCAAAAAGTGGCTACCATGGAGGCCTTATTTATCTAGAAGTATTGCCCCGTGTTGTGTGTACAGAAGCAATCTGTTAGATTGCCTTGGTTTTGATTGATCATTTTGTTTCAATTTGGGTTCCACATGTTCGCTTCTGTTGTTTCCTAATTGTATTGCGTTCGCGACTGAGGAGAGCAATTGAAATGTTAACATTTCGCGACTTATGTCTTCTTGGAAATACTTCGAATTACGCTCTTTATATGCTCAGCGATTACCGGCTTCTGCGTGTCGTGCTTGCCGAGAGCGTCTCTGGCTATTTGAGTCCTTGCAGGCATTAGACGATAACCCGACAAACAAGTGGAAACTCCATGCTTTAATCTCGTCTTTTGGTGACAACTGCGTCCACAACAACATCAGGGAGCTCTAAACGTTGTCTAATGTAGCGCACCGGGGTGTGGTGATCCAGGCTTTTGTGCATTCCAATCTCGGTACCCCGTTATAGTCTCGGTCTCGGTGTCCCAGCAGTACTGCAGCCTGCGTACATCTGCTTGAGTTTGCATGGTAGAACATATCATCCGTGCACTGTATCTAGACACTCCACCAATGTCTTGTTCGCATTCAAGCAGTCGACCGGACTTTTTCACTTTGTCACCCGGTTTTAGGCATTGGTCCTTCTTCAATTCGACGAATCCACTGTTATCCACCTCCAAACATTAATTGTTTTTTTACTTTTTAACGCTCTTCGTTCCACTATCCTCACTCGTAATCATTCCGCAGTCAACGTCGATTTAATTGAAAGGGAAGCAGATGGACGACATGAACACCATAATCAACCTACTCGGTATTCTGACTAAGCCCTCCAACTGGAGGATCACCAGCCACCCAAAATCCAAGCGCCATGATGAAGCTAGGCTTCGGGTTGTCTTAAACTCTCTCGATGACGTGGAATCACTGTTGCTTACGACAGCTCGTCTCCGGGGCGGGTGCTGTTTGATCCCCGTCTTTCTAGAGGTTCCATAAGGCGAGCGAAGCAGAGCTTAGAAGATTTACGCCTAAACACCGCAACCGGAACCATTTTTGTGCACGGCGTCCCCCAGTCTCATGAGTACGATGAATGCGAACCAGCGGCTCATAACCACAAGCAGTGGCGCTATATTCGTGAGGCTCTGCTCTTGGATGACGTTGTAGGTGCTTCTCTCTCAAAACTGCCAAGACCAGCAAGCTACAAAGGGTGTGGCCCAAGGATAATGAAGGTTTTCCTTCAAACTAGGCAAATGCCACTTAAGCTAGTGGGACGATGGCAATCACTTCGTAACATACCGTCAACCGACACAGAGCGCTGATGAAGCGACCAATGCTTTACGGATGCAGTACACCCTGATCTTCCAACGGGACGTCCGTCACTGTTACATACCCACATTCACAGCCCCCGATTTCAACACTTACTCACATCAGTTTTACTGCCACCTCTGTGTTAAACCAACTGCTTGTACTGCGCATTGACAGTTCTCCGGAATCGATGACACCCTAGGGCATTGAACGTAGCTGACACAACACTGACGGAGCCGTTATCGTATTTCTTCCAAACGTACCTGGATTATGTGAAAACATGGCCTAATCGCATCAATTCGCAGAAGTGACGGTCGCTCGGAACCCGCAAACTATCGCCTTGTGGTCCTCTCCCTCTATATTCTTAAAAGCGATGGAAACAATCATCGCTAAAGCTTTAATCGATCATCTAGAACGCTACAACAGCAGAGCACCGTAGCAGCACGGTTTCCGCCAACACCGTACACGCACAACCAACTTACTGATTGCTCGCAGTAGCTGGACGGAAGCGGCCGATGAAGGCAGAGGGACAGACAGCATTTAGCACGATTTCTCCAAAGCCTTTGATAAACTATACCACCTCATTCTACTTCACAGGCTCGAAAGCTATGGAGTTGTGGATCCTGTCCTTGGGTGGATCAGGAAGTTCCTGTAGAATCGGCAACTGCAGGTCAGAGTTCAAAATGCACTACCTGATCCGACTCACGTTGAATGTGGCGTTCCTTAAGGATCAGTTCTGAGGCTGCGTCTATTTCTCGTGTTCAGTAATGAGCTTACGCATTTGATTGCCTCGGATTTCTTTTTGCTCGCAGACTGAGGAACTCGATGCACTTCAGCAATCGTCATTCCATGATCTGCTCCATTTTAATTCGTCTAAATATAAAGTGTTCCACCTTCGTCACCAGCCGTACAACATGTACATACTTAGAGACCATGTTCTACAAGAAGTCATCCAGGAACGCGGCCTTGGGGCATTGTTCCAAGTTGATCTGGGCTGCCCAGAACAATCTGTGAAGGCGTCAAATACTGGGAACCAACACGTCGGTATACTGCGGAGGGCATTTTGGTGGATTGACTCGCCTGTCTGTTCTCTGTTGCTTAACACAAGCTTGCGGTCTCATGTGCAATACACAGTCCAGGCCTGGCAGCTCAGGCACAAGCTAGACCTTGCAGCACTCGAGACTCTACAGCGATTAGCCACCGAATTGTTGTTTCACCTTCCATATCATCTTAGGCTGCGGACTTTGTGATGCTGAGAGTTTCGGCACCTACTTGGCGACCTAATACTGGCCTACTAGGTTTGAGGAATCTTAACCCCGTCTGCAACTCAGTCACAACACGAATTTGAGGGGCCACCGTTTCAAATTGGTCACGTAATACTGTCGGCAAAACTTTCGCTATCTTCATGTCTGCCAGCCATTGAAAGCCCTCCAAATTACGTTGTTTCCGCTTTGGTGCTGCCCTAACCCACCTACACTATATAGCCTGTGTACATCGACAGACGATACAACTTGACGAACGTTGCACAACCGCCATTAACCTAGACAAACGAGTTTGGCTGTTTCATGCGTGCTTCTTTGTGGAAACTTTGATGAGTCCACCAAGACGATTTACATTTTATCCCCGTTTTCTTTTCACCATGTTGCCATGGTTCTCATTCTGGCCATCCCACGGGGCTTGTTAATCATCTGCATTTTTATTCGTACTACATCATTTTTCCATAGTTCCCTTGTAATCCCGAAGTCGCGGATTCGAGCCTGCCTAGGGGACCGGGCGACCCTCGCAATATCCTTAGGTTACACGCGACTGACGGTGGTTGCGTGGCAACCAAGCGTCGGCACGGCGTACTACTAATGCCTTTCCTTCTTTTCTTTACACATCGCACTTGTTGAACTGTTTTTTCCAGTGGCTTTTGTCTAAAGATTGTCCGCAGCAGTCCATCCGCGGGTGGTAAATGTCACCGATCGTGCAAACCCACTTTTGAGTGGCTGTTGGCTTTAGTTCCCGTGATGGTAAAACCCTTTATGTACCCTCACCGTTTTGTGTTATCAATTCCGTGGTGAAAGAGATGCCTCTGTGTAGCTACATCTAATATCTTTTAAGCAAATCTACCTATTATGATGGTGATTATTCTCGAAATCTCAAGTCGGCAAAGTGCGAGTCCAGGAGTTTCTTAAACTCCGGCACCGATTTTGCTTCGACTATGTCTGCAGGCAGGTTGTTCCAAATATTCACCACCCTCCGCTCGAAGCAGATTTGGTGAGTGATCCGCTTCAAATGCGGTACGACAATTTTGTACCGGTGTCCTCGTGTACTGCTCGGTGTGCGCAGATTAAGCAGCTGCCTCAACATGGGGTAATCACCCATATGCCATACCCAGTACGTCATGATGAGGTCAACCCGCAGTCGACGATAATCTAGGGTGTACAACCCTAGTCTCTTGCACCGGTCTTCATATGGCACCTCGCAACCCGGGGATGAGCCTTGTGGCTCCACGCTGTACTCGCTTAACTCGTTGCACCTCCCCCCGGGTGAGCGCACAGTGGGCGGATGAGCTGCACTCTAGCATTAGTCTGATGATAGAAAAGAAAAGGCAGGTGGCAACCTCTTCGCACCAAGTGCAGCAGCTGCGTTTTAGCGCCCAGAGCATGCGCAGTTCGTTTTGGTGAAACCTGTCCGTGTTTTCAAAGGATTTCAAATCGCAGCGTATGCGTACTCCGCCATCTTTCACGGATGACGATGGGTGTAACTGTTGGCCGGCCAGCTTGTAGACTCGATCATTAACCACCCTTGCCCAGGCTCATGAATACCGACTTGACCGCGTCGATCAGAATGTTGACCCTGGTTGACCACATGCAGAGGCGGTCAAGGTCAAGCTGAAGCAGGTCGCAGTCGTCTAGCGCCTCAATTACCCTCCATACCTTAAAGTCCTCTGTAAACAATGCGCACGGTGAACTGAGAAGCCGGGGCAAATCGTTGATGTGGATCAGGAACAAAATGGGCTCCAGTACAATGCCCTGCGGGAGGCCACTGTTCGAGAGACACCACTCGGTCAGGTGGTTGTCCATCTGCACCCTCCACGTCCGACCAATAAGGAACTCTCTGATCCACTGGTGCGGTGGGCCATCAACACCGCATATGTTCAGGTTCCGAAGGAGGATCTCATGGTTTACTTAAATACCTTATTTTTGGATCGAACCTTTTGATAACTTGTCCTGTCTGTCGCAAAGTACATGTGTTCGTTTATTTGAAGCTTTTTCCAGTTCGCGCGATGCTTACACACGGTCAGCGTTATCATTTGTGTTATGATCTAACAGTTAATCGGAGTTCCTAAATTCAATGAGGTCGTCCCTAACTCCGAACTTGCGTATATTCACTACTTTCTGACCTTTTCTTGTCGTCACCTTCCTCATCTGCGTCCATTTTGCCTTAACCACACCATCCGCAGAGTATCGTATGTCCACTGATTCAGTGTCATCCGACTAATGTCATTGCTCTATCTGAAGCCAACTTCAATTGAAATGTCCACTGATCATCATCTCTACTGCCCCCTTTTCCAATTTCAGGCTCTGAATAAGGTTTTATCCTCTCCTATCGCCGCGCTCTCCGTCGTCGGCCCAGAGGCCTCCGAGATTCTACCAGTCCAAGTGCTTTTGTCTGTTTAAAATAACCCTGCTTCGATGCCTACCCTTGGAACATAGCCTTTCGTGTGCTCCCTTGAACTGCGGTCTTAGCACTGCTTGTCGTTAGCATGTTCTACCTCTCTTTTCTCCTGTCTCTTCTCAGGCCGGTGACATGTTTAACTTCCGCGGTTTAATAGAATTTTTAGTCATATCAACCTATTGCCGTCATATCTTTTGAGAGGCCATTAACGCCTTTAACAGCTGGCATTGATACTCCAATACACTCTGTTGGTATACACCCGGCTCTTATTTGTGTACGTCTTCCGTTGATTTCTTGAGTGTTTTTGTGCTAAGGTCTTCTACGCAACACAGTTCTCATACGCAGGTGCACCGAAGTATTCAACTTTCATTTTGCGTTCGTTCGCGGCGTTTTTTTATTTTACGGGTGACAAGAAACCCATTCCGTTCAATTCAACCTATTCTGCCAACACTTCCATCACTGAAAGCGTTGGATCCAGCACCCTGTTTTCGCGTCATTCCTAAGTGGAACCGGATGCATGTACCTACTTTACAATATTGGTTGGTGTTATAACACTACCCTCTCCTCTGCACTGCCAACCCAGCCTGAGACAAAACAAACCACCAAAGCTTGGTAGATCGAAATATATTCAAGACAGAACACGGTTAATTTTATAGGTCACGTGCTCTTCGCCGCTTTGTCACTGAGGCGATTCACATCTCTTATCTGGCCAGATTCACCGTCTGTCTGTAGCTACGATCACATCCGCACCATAGCGCGACCCATACGGCGACGGTGCACTGGCTCCGTCAACCGCTCTGGATTGCGCAGCAAGCTGTCGTGAATTGCGAACTGAGTGCGTCATCTCCCTGCCTAGTCAACCGCATGCCGGGCCAGTGCCCCGAAAACGTGTCACGTTTTTAGGTCGTGGCCTCCATGGAGACAGCCACAGAACGCCTGCGTCTACTGAGGGATTATGGGTGGCTTGCATTGCACCACCTACAACTCCATCCACACACCCTATATCCGGTGTAAACCTGAAGCAATAAGACCAGGATGCATGTGGATGGGAACCACGTTTCATCAACTGGGCTGGCTCACACTTCTTCAACATACAGTGGCAACGTTCCGGTCTATCTCAATTGGAGTTCATGCGAATCACACCATTTACACGGGTTGCTAGTGAAACTTTGGGAGCAAGAGACTATCCTGACAGACTGTAGCCGCTCCGCCATTGTCCCGATTTTCAAAGAAGGCTCCCGTTCGGAATGCGGCACTCATAGAGGGATCAGTCTGGTCTCAATTGCCTCTAAATTGCTTCCGGCTGTCGGTCTCCACATAATGGCTGGCAACTGGGTAAGCCAGATCCGTGAAGAGCAAGCCGGGTTCCGTCGAGGTCGGGGCTGCATCGACCACATCTTCACTTTGCGTCAATTGTTAGTCACCGCCATGTTTATTGACGACCCTTTGTTGTCTGGTTTCTTGACATAAAAGGTGCCTTCGATACAGTCGATCGATGTGCCCTTTGGAACTGTGTGCTGAGGAAAGATGTGTCTGATAAATACGTAAACATTATCAAAGCGCTGTACGCGCATAGTTCGGGCAGAGTAAAGGTTTATGGCAAACTGTCGCCACCCTTCCGTATCACCAGCAGTGTGAGACAAGGTTGCCCGCTGTCATCTTTTCTATTTAACTTCGCAGTTGATGGTCATGGAAACAGCGTTCGCTGGACATGACCTAGAAGGTATGGGGCCACTTTTTGGTGAGCGACTTCTTGGCTTTGAGTATGCGGACGATATTGCCCTAATCTGTGACAGCTTCCCAACATGCCAAGCAGCACTGGACTGATTAGCACTGGTTGTCAATCGTTTTGGGCTACGCTTTGCTCCATCGAAATGCAAAGTACTTCTCCAAGATTGGCAGGGACCCACCCCTGCGCTAAAGCTTTTTAATGATCGGCTAGAAGTCCTTCAGGATTTCAAGTACGTTGGCAGCTATATTAGCGCCCATAGGATGGAAGATGAGGTTACGAACCGTATAACAAATGCTTTAGGTGCTTTTGCCAACTTCAGCCATCTGTGGTGTAGACGCAACATTACTCTCGCAGCTATCCATTCAACCCTCCTATATGGCTGTGGAACCTGGCCCACCAGGTCGACAGACATAAAGAGGCCCGTCACATTCGATCCTCACTGCCTTCGCAGGTTATCTCATGTCTGGTGGGGGCACCGCGTAAGCAATGAGCGTGTTCGGTGTCGTGTATTTGGTGCAGGAAGAGCGAGCGAAACGCTCAGCACCATTATATCATGCACCAGGCTCTGATGGCTGGGCCACGTGTTGCGCATGTCAGCACACCGACTCCCGCGATGTGCATTGTTTGCGCGTTGTGGGTGCGGTTGGAAGAAGAGGGGTGGTCAAGCGGTGAGTTGCTCGAGAGAAATGGAAACCCTCACTTTTATACTATCGTCGGTTGGTACCTCCCGATTGCCTGGCTGGGGTCCTAAGGACGATGAACACGTATGGTTGGACACACTTGGTGATATGGCGAAAATCCGGCCCCATTGCCGTTTCTGTTGTTAGTTTCTTTGTCTATCCCCTCCCTTTAGCTTCTCCCTCCAATCCCGATCGCATGCCAAACACATAATAGAATATTTAACATCATATTTTTTCTAGTATACTTTTTTGTCTGTTATCTTTTCATATTGCGGCACATTAACTGAGATGTGTTTCTCACCCTCTGCTAACCTGTACTGATGATGAAGTGGATAAATCTACTTCCATCAATACGTGGGTGATGCGGCGCAGATAACGCCTAGTTGGTAAAGTACAACGGGAAAGTGTGCCAATTGGGCCTGAGTTTCTAGGTTCGAACTATTATAATATCTAACCGCCGGTTCTCCCATATACAAAGTCCGCATCACGTCGCGTTCTCATTACTCTTATACATTTTTGGTTAAGACCAATGGGCTAAGGAAGATGGCACCAACCAAAGTGACGAAGCTGTTAGAAATGAACTATCGCAGCTTATTCCCCATTCGCGTGCACGTTACTGTCGTGCAGAGGACAGAGTGAAGCCCCCCACCAAGCAACGAACTTCCCAAACTTAGGACACAACTTATGGTATTTCTGAGGTTTCATCGCAGCTAGACTCAGGCAGATAGCCACCACACATCCAGGAAAGCGCCAGACAGCTGTTTCGTCCTACTGGGACTCCTCAGTAGCGCCGTATCCTGCCGGATTCGAACCCACGACCTAGCGACTTATGTAACTGAGCTATGGGTGACGGCAGCAGACCGTGGTTACCGATATCTAACTGCGATATAGGTCAGAGGACAGGACTGCGCCCAGAATAACGATTTACTTTGCAAGCCGCCACCAATCTAGGTGGCATACAAGCAGTCTGACCTGTGTAGTAACTACGCGGACTCCTACGAGTAGAATTGCGGGACGTCATCTCGTTAGGAACAGCGGAAATGTGCGCTACTGACGATTCCAGACAAGTTGAAACGATCGTAAAGCGTTTCTCCGGACTGTGGCGATAGAGTTGATGTGACGATTTTCATTTAGTTTCTGGATCCACTAGGTTAGCTGCCAAAATAGTAGTTTAGTCGCCCCAACAGATACATTCGCCACTTGATGGATCGGTGCATAAAAGACAGCTAACCTCATATGGCTCCTATCAGTGCCGTGAAATCCGTCACACTGGCACTGTGCTGCACTTAGCTCCCTGTCCCAGATTGCAAAAATACGGCGAAGACGAATGCTCTTAAAGCCACCTGAGTTTTGTATGCAACAGTAGAACCTGTAAATCTTCAACGTTCTCCTCACACAACTGCTGGAAACGACAATCTTGAATAGGGTGCAATTTGATATTGTTGACTTTATATATATATATATATATATATATATATATATATATATATATATATATATATATATAATGTATTGTTGGCGGCATCCGGTTTCGGATTTGCCTGTCACTGTGGCCAGCCACAGGACGACAACGCCTACAGAGAGACCATGGGTGGCATGCGCTGCACCACCCGAACGCTCCATATCCAGTGTAAACCCGAAGAAATAAGACCGGGAGGCATGTGGATAGGAGCCACGTTTCATCAATGGAGTCGGCCCACGCTCCTTCAGAGGCAAACACAAGCACACTGTATTTGGGGAATCAAGCGCACACAAGGCGGTGGCTGGACCGTTGTCCGTTCCACACTGACTGCATGGAACCACTCTTTGATCCTAACACGGCCACAAGGACCGTGCCCCCCGTCCCCTCCAGCAACGACCAACTGTCTCCTGGAGCTAGTATGGACGAGGTGGTGGGTAATAGACAGGTAGGCACCTTGTTAACATGCACATCAAGCGCAGCCACATCGAGGATATCAAGTAACAGCCAATCACTTGAGAGAAAATAAATAAAATAAATCGAGTATTGCATAAGAAAAGGATATATGTATATATATATATATATATATATATATATATATATATATATATATATATATATATATATATATATATATATATATATATATATATATATATATATATACTTGACTATTATAGCAGTTGACAGTGAATCGTTTAAGCGCTCTCTCAAGTTCTCAGACACTAGGTGCTCTCTCGATGAACCACAGAGGGAATGGCATGAAGAGGGAACATTTTTTAGATGGGCAATAAATCCTTTATACCTTCCGACCATAGCGGTAGCACCATCTGTTACACATCCAACCATATTCTATATTGGAGTTGGGGGTTTTCAGTCAGATTGCTATTGAGTACCCTAAGTATAGACCGGCCCTTTGCATGGGTTTTAATTCTCCTGGTAAACAACATCTCTTCAACTAAATCACTATCATTGAATAATCGGACATATCACGAAAAGAGCGTCGTTACCAGGTAAAGTAGACTCATCTACTTGTAACGAAACTTTTCTGGATTTTAGTTGAGTAACTGAGGTTCTTTTATGTCCTGAGCGATCTCATCTATTCGCCTAGATGCAGTCGGATTG